CTCTACGAAGAATGTTTGTTCTCCTAGCAGTCCATGCTATAGTCAACACTCTTCTCCAGCACCACAGCCCAAAGACATCAATTCTCCTTCTATCATCCCAAGTCACTGTCCTGCTTCTGATGCATAGCAAGTAATTGCAAAAACCATGGCCTGGATCAGGCGCACCTTAGTCTCCAGACTGACATCATTGCTTTTCAGTACTCTGCAGAGGTCTCTAACAGCACACTTTCCAAATGCAATTCATCTTTTGATTTCTTGGCTGCTGGTGCCAAGATTGTTGACTGTAGAACCAAGCCAACTGAAGCTATTAACAATCTCAATCTCTTCAAGATGGACAGGCAGTCCAAGAGAGGAAGACAGACGCTGGATGAGATGGGTTGACTCAGTGACTGGGGTAATGGGGGTAGGTGTGTCAGAGACAGGAAGACTGGCTCAGGATGGAGCAGGGTTCAGAGCTCTTTGCACATGGGGTCGCTGTGAGTTTTAAGTGATTCAACGGCACAAAACAACAAACAACAGCAGCAAATAGACCCACTCGAGGTATATACGTTCCAGTAGGACTAGGTAACGATGTGCATTTTTAAAAGTATATTAAATCTATTATGCATTCAATCCAAGACATAACAAAATACTCATGCAGCCACCATTCTACTTAACAGAGTAAACATTTTTTTCAAAATCTACAGTTCCTTAGAACTCCACATGCAGGGAGCTCTGGTGGCCTAGTGGCAAGAAGCTGCACTGCAATCCCAGAGGTGAGCAGTTCGAATCCACCGGATGCTCTGCTGGAGAAGGAGGGACAATCTCCTCATGTACCAGTCAGATCCGATTTGACAGTACAAATAAACAAACAAAATAATAAAATTTAAAAAACAACAAAGCAAACTTCACATGTGTCTGTGGTCACAGCCTTTAGCTGCACTCGATGTAACCATTCCCTTGCTTTCCACTCATCTCTGTTGTGGGGTTTTCTTTAATAGTTGTATAGCCATTCTCCTTCTCAAGCACATATTATGAAACAACAGTAGGTCATTTCTCTCTAGTGTGAGCTTCAGGTAAAAGAATCGCACTGCAGGCATTCTTCAGTGACTCGTGCCTCTCACCCGGCATCATTTGAGGATGTGTCTCCATGTCTGTGGCTGCCTTCTCCCACTTCCACAGAACTCCACGGTGTGAACAGACTTCACCTCACGTAGCTACTGATAATGAGCATTTAGGTTGTTTCTGCTTTTCTCTTGTATTACAATTATGAGAAGTGCTGCAGTGAACAGTCTACAAATCTCCTGGGCGCGTGAGAGTGTGCCATGTCTTGGAGCCAAGACGGGGTCACAGGCCATCCCTGCGTCATACCGGGGACTCCCAACGCGGCTGAACCAACCCACTCTCCCACAGCAGTGTGTGTCCTCCCTGCACCCTCCGCATCCTTACTAATGCCTGCCACTGCCCATCGCGTCTCTTAACCAATACGGCGGCTACAAAACGGCATTTCACCAGGTTTTGCGTTTTCCTCTTCATAAGGCTGAACCTCTTTTAAGCACTACTTGCTGTCTACTGACAGACTGTACCTATCTTTTGTTCATTTTTCTAGTGTTGTCTTCTTTTTTCAGAAGTATAAGGATTCTCAACCTATCCTAGATAAAAGTGCTCTGCACATTATGTCTCTTTTAGTCCTTTGAGCGAACTGAATTCTTCACTTTAACGTAGCCAAATCCATCTCTGCACGTCTTGGTTTGGTACAGGATTATTTCAGAAGATGCACTCTAATCCCACATCTTGCAACTATTTTCCCTTATGATTTTCTAAAATCTTATTATTTTTGCAGAAGTCCTAGTGCTGCTATGTCAACAGTTCAAATCGACCAAGCAATCCACGGGAGAAAGTTGAGGCCATCTGCTTCCCTAGAGACCTGCAGCCTTGGAAACCCAACGGGGCAGTTCTGGTCTGCCCTACGAGGCCACTATAAGTTAGAATGAACTGGACAGCAACGGGCTGGGTTTGGGCCTTTGGATTCAGAGTTGAGTCGCATACGAGGTGATGCAAAGGAATATTAAAGGTGAACGAGGTTTCCGCCTCACCCTTTCACCAAGTTCCAGGAAGACTTATATCTGAAACAGAAAAGTCTAAGCCCACTGTCTTCAAGTCATGTGGCCTCCCGGTCAGCCCCACAAAACAGAGCAGGAGTAGCCCACGGGTTCTCCAAGACTGCAAATCCTCACCGAACAGACTGCTTCATGGTTCTTCATCCAAGTAGAACTTTTGGTTCATAGCTGAATTAACTAGAATACTGCTGTGACTCCTTCTATATACAATATTTAATACAGAGAATCAAATACTGCTCTGTGTTCAAAGCTCAAATTTCACTATCAAGGAGAAAGGAGCAAGAAGTTCTGAAGCTTCGTGTCAGCAATTGGGAGAAGTTATTATTAGTATATCATGACTTTTTGCAATTTCCTTACCATCTTGTGCCAAATTTTAGTAGAATACTGAACTGAAGACTGAAAGAAGTGACTTTAAAAAAGTAAGACCATGGGACTAAAAAATACAGATTCTCACCAAGAATGTCTCCCGGTGCACATGCCCAGAACAAAAACCACAGTATCCCACTGTGGCGTGTATACACAAGAGCACCAAAAGCTCACACAAGAGCCCACACACGAGTGTTCGCAGCAGCACTTTTCACAAGAGCAAAAAAAGTAAAGACCTAAATGTCCACCTGCAGGTGGGTGGATAAACAACACTGGGCACGTCCACAAGTCGGAAGGTGCGCCACGAAGAGGCATTCTGACAGACATTGCGGCACGGAGGCCCCTGAGCACATCGGGGCTGAGTGAGAACTGTCAGTATACCGCATGACTTCACTTCTGTGGAATGTCCAGGGTAAGCAACTCCACGGAATCAGAAACCAGATTAGCGGTTGCCAAGGGATGGGAGAATGAGCGTTCCTGGTGCATCCCCACTTTCTGGAACTGCCTTCCCTTCCTTTGCCAATGCTGGTGTTGTAGTAATTAAGGGCCTGGCTGCTAACTGACAGGGTGAACCCAACAGCCACTCCACGAAAGATGTGTCAGTCAGCTTCCCAGAGAGAAGTGATCCTGGGAATTCTTCAGGGCGGGTTTACTACCAGTCAGAACAGACTTGAGGGATGCTCGTTAGTTTTTGTGGGGTGAGGCAAGGAGGATAGAGTACCCTGGACCTGACTTCTAATGATGCCAAACTCTTACGCATATGGAAGAATCCCCCGGGGAATATGGCTACAATAGCATACCTACAGTGCAAATGCGAATATGCAGCAAACAGCCAACATCACCGCCAGCAGCCCACCCTCTGCTTTGAAGGTACCAGTTCGATGCCTTGTCGTGCACAGAGTGGCTCTGAGTCAGAGATCAACTCAATGACACTTGACCTGTGAGACATCAGGCCCTGGACAAATACAAGGTGTTGGGATCCAGACTCCTAAGAGCTCCATGCTTCCCTGGAGCTGTAAAAACACACATAGCACTTCCTGCTTGAGACGGTCACAGGAATTAAATGAGGTCACACACACAGCACTCAGAAGAGAGCGGTGCCCACTCTGAAAGGGGTCAGTATCATTGGTGATCAGCCAGTCTGCTCCGTGTCCAATGCTACCTGGAGTCCCGCCTGCCACCCAGCCAATTCCCACTCCATGAACTGACCCTGCGGGACACTGCAGAAGAGCCTCATACCATTTCCAGGGCTGACCTTTACAGGACCAGGCTGCCTCATCTCCTAAGGAGTCAGTCCAGGCTCAGAACCACAGCCAGGGGAATTCTTTAACTACCGCATTGAGAACACCCAGAATATTCCAGGCAGAGGCTAAGTGGGGGCGTCCATCTTTATTCTTTCATCAATCCCGTGAGGTTGGGTCCCAAATATGCCCAGTTTACAGATGTAGAAACTGAGGTAGGCAAGTGGGATGTCACACTGGGGATCTCGCCGCTGGAATTTGGAATTCAGATTCTGGTCTACTCAAGTCTGAGTCCTGGATGGGGTGCCCCACCCTTGGGGTGCTGCAGCGGTAGGGTGAGGGGTGCAGGGCCCCACGCCCCTTTACAAGCAGGCCCTGCCCACCCTGGACAGGGTACCTGGCGGGCCCGCACATAGGAGGCACCAGGCAGACGATCCCGGGATCGGAACTGGCGATCCCGGGATCGGAACTGGCGCTGCCCTTTTCTTCACGAGCTCTTTCCCCTGGATTATTTGTAATGCAGAAATAAAAACGACAACAAAACCCTATTGCAACTAAACCATCTTAGAACTAAAAGCAAGCAGCGCCGACAAAGGAGACTTAGAAGCCTTTGCTGGGAGGGGCAGGCTGGGGTGCTGGGGTCTAGGGGTAAAGGGGTTCGCCCCCCAGGAAGGCGGGGTGGCCAGAACTGCAGGGTTCAAAGGGGGGAGCTTCAAGAGGGGGCCCCTAAATGTGCAACCCTGGGGGGCGTGGAGATGAGGGGGAAAGGCATTCTGGGACTCGGAGGGGCGGGCTGGGGTCTCAAAGGAGGGGATTCTGAAGGTGGGGGCTGAGGGAAGGTGAGATGAGAGTTGGGGGGCTCCCAGGAAGTCAAGGCCCCCCCAACCCCGGGGGGCGTGGCTGGGGCGTGAAGGAGGGTCGGGCCGAGGAACCGGCGGGTCCGGGGTTGGAGGAGGGGCAGAGTGGGGTGCGCAGGGAGCGGGGAGGGGTGCCGTACCTGCAGACGCGGCGCAGTCCCGACCCGGTCCCGCCAAGCCCGCGCGGCCGCCGCCCCCGTCACCGCCGCCCGGCGCGCCCCACGTGACCTGCGCACGCGCGGGGGGCGGAGCCGCCGCAAGACCCGCCCCCGGCGTCCTCGCGCTGCTCGAGTGCGCGCATGCGCGGCGGTTGCCGTGGAGACCAGGGGAGCGTTGGTAGCTGTTGGCTGGTGGGGAAGAGGAGATCGGCGTCCTTTGAGGGTCTGGGGCCGCTGAGACCCCGCAGAACGACCACGTTCGGTGCTGCGGGGACAAGCATGCACCCAGAGGCCTCGGAGCCGACGGCAGGCCGGGCAGGGGAGCTGGACTGCGCTGTGGAGCCCGACGTGGAGGCGTCTGCGGGGGACCACGGGGGCCGCAAGGAAGGTGCTGACCCGCTCCCCACCCCATCCCCCGTTCAGCTTTCTGAGAAAACACCAAACTGCCTTCCAGAGTGGTTGTACATTGTACAATCCCACCAACAGTGTACAAAAGTTCATCTCTCTGCATGCTCTCCAACATTGATTACATGCTGTCCTGTTAAACGTGGCCACTGGTACTGGGGTGAGACGGTATCTCATTGTGGTTTTGATTTGCATCTCTCTTACTGCCAATGTCTGTTGGCCATCCGAATATCTTACAGGAATTCTTTAAAAATGAGAAAAAGAGAAAAAAATTTAAAAAAAAATGAGAAAAAGTAGCACATTCTAGCCAATGGCCTGGTATTGCCACCTAGAACTAACTGAAAGTGATTTAACAGTTTATTGTATTTACTTCATCTTTGTAATAAAAGAAATAAAGCAAAAATAAAGAGAGCAAACATTGCAGATAAAGTGTTGGCATTCCCTCTGTTCTCAGTCATGGTCACTCCCCATAGCAGCATCCAGTCGTCCTGATTGGGTGCTGACCCTTGGTAATCATTTCACTTTACACATACTGTGAGTCCTCAAACAACGCACAAGAAGTCCTAGGGGTGTAGTGGATTAAATGTTGCTCTGATAACTAAAAGGTTAGTGGTTCAAATCCACCAGCTGCTTCAAGGGAGAAAGATGAGGCAGTCTGCTTCTTTCAAGATTTACAGCCTTGGAAACCTGATAGGTTGTGCATTCTGCTCGGCCCTACAGGCCACTTGGAGTCCCAGTCAACTCACGGGCAGTGGCCTAATTAAACAGTAGCACTAGTTTGAATATTTTGAATGCCGTGAATGATGTTCTGTGCATACTGTGAAACTTACAGTTACCATCCAACGTATGTTCTTGAGAGCTATGCATACTGAGCGGCTCTAAGGGAGAAAGATGGGCAATCTCCTTCGATGAAATTTACAGTCCCTGAGACCCAAGAGAGGGCCGGCTATGGGTCCTAAGTATTTGTATTTGAAAATTTTTAGTGATTGAGTGAAAGCTTACAGAGAAAATAAAATTTCCATCTAATCATTCATATGCATTTTTATTTATGACAGTGTAACAGCTCTCTTCCCATTTCCTCTGGATGACTCTTGTTTCCACTCACCCTCGTCTTGTGTCCCTCCCTCCCTTCTGAGCTTTGTCTCTGGGCAGGTGCTGCTCTGAGGACCCTGCATGGCAGATGATATGTATATTCACTCAGCACTACTGTCTTATTTTACAGAAACTAATGAGTCCAAGGAAGCATGCGTAGGGCCTTGTGACACACCCACCCAGAAGGTACAGATCCAAAGTGGTGACAGCCAGGCAGACAGTCGCTGGGCACACCCACGTGAGGACAGGGATGACCACAGCCCCAGGTACGTGGCCGTGAGGCCAGTGAGAGCCCACCTTTCCTGAGGAAGGTCCGTGGGATCTCACAGAGCTCAAGTCCCTTGCCTGCGGGGTCTGAATTTTGAAGCAGTGGAGTGAGGATGGCTGTGCCTCTGTTACACAACTCACCCCAATTTATTAAACCGAGGGCCAAGCCTGGAGAGAGAAACATCAATAGTCCCTGATGACTCCATGAAAAGTATTTTTATTAGAACCTACATGGCAATTTTTAAGAATGCTGAAAGTAAAAAAAAAATATTGAAGAGGCTCAGAAAGTGCTCTTCTGAAACAGAGGGAGCGGGGGAGGAGAGTTCCAGGTGTCCCCAGGGCCAGAAAGGTTGTGGAACTGGGGGAGAGAAGGGATGTGGCTCAGAAGTTGTGGAAGATATTTTACAGCTGACAGATGTAAATGAGCATCTTGTTCATGTTTCTCATTTTAACAGAATGACTAAAAGTTTCCTTCAGAAACTTTGCAAGCAGCACAAACTTTACATCACGCCGGCGCTGAATGACACCCTGTACTTACACTTTAAAGGTAGGGAAGGGCGTGCTGGAGGGGCTGCTTCAGTTTGGTGGGGGAACTCTCTGCTCATTGCTGTCTAGGAGAAACTTGCTCACAGCCGACCCCTTGGGACTCTTGTTAGATGCCATCGAGTCAGTGATGCTTAGTGACCCTTTGAGCATCAGGTCTGAGCCTTGCCCTGTCCTGCTGGACTCTCAGATCTAGCCCATTGTCACGGTCACTGTGGCAGTTCCTCTCACTGAAGGCTCCTCCTCCCTTTGCTGACCTTCCCCTTTCCCAGCGTGATGCCCCTTCTGCTCAGAGTCTGTGAGATGAAACTGCACCATCTTTGCCTCCAAGGAGCACCCTGGTTGCTCTTCCTCCAACACAGACTCGTTTGTTTTTTATTGCAGTCCGTGGAACATTCAGGACTCTGCATCAACACCACAGTTCAAAGGCATCAGTTCTTCTGTCATCCTTATTCACTGTCTAACAAGCAACTGCAGCTAAAAGTATTATGGCTTGAATAAGGCGTATCTTAGTCTTTAAACTGGTATCATTGCTCTTTAGCACTGTGGAGAGGTCCTACCCAACAGATTTTTCCCAGTGCAACTCATCTTTTGATCTCTTGACTGTTGTGACCACGAGTGTTGATTGTGGATTCAGATGTGAAAATGTGATGTGACAATTAGGATGCCACTGGTGATCTTTGGTGACTGTGGTAATGGCAGGATCAAGAAGGGACCAAACTGTGGAGAGGGGTGAATTAGAGACAGAACTGGGCAGTGAGGAGGAAGAAGAGGTTGACAGCAGGAGGGGACAAAACACTGAGGACACCCAGACGTTGGGAAGCATTTGAGGACAAGCGATCCAGGTTCTTCAACATCAAGAAAAATTTAAAAATTGCAAGGGAAGAGGCAGAGACTGAGCCCAGGTGAAACGATACAGTCTGTAAGACATAGAATGTGTTTAGTGCTTGGTCCTTGTGTGCTGCCTGCAGGTAGAAATTAAGTGGAGCAAAAGGCACAACTGGTGTCCATTCATCTGCAGTACCAGAAGGAGGAGGGTCAGGAACAGGAGGAGGATGTGGAACGTGTGGCTAATTGTCTCCAAGAGCAAAGGCCTCCTTTACCGTCAGAGCAGAAGAACTGACTAGTGCCCGGCTACCATTATCGAGCATTGTGATTGTTGATTCCATAGAAGAATTCTAATCAAAAGGGGGGAAATGCAGAAGAGAATTTAAGGTTCTGAAGAACTCTAAGACTTTCTGGAGTACTGGAGGCTAGGTAAACCCACCTGAGATAATAATTGAACTTTAACCGGAAAAATCTCAAAACAGAAAAGTAGAAACAGTTGGATTATTAGGGTGGCAGGACCATAGGCAAATTTCCTCACTACTGATACTGTTGTCATTTCCTGATTGAAACGTTTTCAGGCCATGAAAAGATTTTGTTGTGCGACATACAAGGACTCCATCCTTTTGGCAAACTTCTTATGTGACCCTAACTTGCTCTAAAAATTAGTTATTCTTAGGCAAGCTCTGGTGGCCTAGTGGCAAGAAGCTGCACTGCAATCCCAGAGGTGCGTGGTTCAAATCCACCAGATGCTCTGCTGAAGAAGGAGGGACCGTCTCCTCCTTTAACAGATCCAATTTGATGGGGCACACATAAAAAAAAAATAAAAATAATTTTTTAAAAATTAATTATTTTTAGGCAAGCTCTGGTGGCCTAGTGGCAGGAAACTGCACTGCAATCCCAGAGGTGCGCGGTTCAAATCCACCAGATGCTCTGCGGAAGAAGGAGGAACAATCGCCTCCTATACCAGTCAGATCCAATTTGACGGTACACACATAAAAAATAAAATAAAAATTGTTAAAAAGTTCTTTTTAAATGCTTTGTGAATTATGGATGAAGTAGAAATTGCAAATTGGTCAGGAGTTCCTAAGACACCTATTGCTATAGAGTTGGCGCCAACTCATAGCTGGTCCATCAGCAGGTTTTCGGAGCCCGTAAAATATCACAAGAGGAGGATGCCCATCTTTGTGCAGAAGAGCAACTGGTGGGTTGGTCCTGTCTGATGAACACCACCTACGGGTTAGAAGCACCACCCTCTACCCACTAGGCCACGAGGGGCTGTGTCCTTAAACGTGTGTTTTCTCAGCCCCAAACCCCACAAGCGGAACCTGTGGCCGCTGGGTGGATTTTGACCGACGTTGGCCCTGTAGGAGAGCGTAGAGCAGCCCCGTCCAGAGGCTTCTCAAGCCTGTGATCTTATAGAAGGGAGCTCTGGAGGTGTCGTCCGCAGCAAGTCAGACCACTAGCCCCAAGGCCACACATCTCTGGTGGTTCGAATCCTCTGTTAGCTCTACGGGAGGATGAGGAACCGTCTCTTCTCATTCCAAGTACAGCCTCAGAAACCCAGTGGAGGGTCCCTGTGTCTCAGACAGAATCACCAGCAGTGTGTTTGAATAACCTTTCCGAAAGCAGGCTGCTGCTTCCTTCTCTCCTGGAACGGCTGATGGGTTTAAACCTTTGACCTTTTAGTTAGTGGCAAGGTACTTTAAATACAAATGTTCCTGGGTGTGTAAGAGCTTACCTGTCCCCCCAACCTCCCCCCCCAGGCTTTGACCGCATCGAGAACTTGGAAGAATACACAGGCCTGCGCTGCCTTTGGCTGGAGTGCAACGGGATACAGAAAATCGAAAACCTGGACGCCCAAACGGAGCTGCGCTGCCTGTACTTGCAAACCAACCTGATTCACAAAATCGAAAACCTAGAGCCTCTGCAGAAACTGGACGCCCTTAACCTCAGCAACAATTACGTGAAGACCCTGGAAAACCTGGGTGAGGCAGGATTCTGAGCACCTCTCCAAGCCCTTGGGGGTCTCCCTGTGTGCCTCCGTGTCTGGCAGGTCTTCTGTCGTCCTTATTCCTTGTCCAACTTTAAGACGCAGAGGAAGCAGTTGAAAATATCCCTGTTTGGACCAGGCACACGTTCGTCTTTAAGCTGACTGTTGCTGGGGGGCGGCTGGGGCGGGGGGCGGCGTAGGTTAGCAGGGCCTGCAGGTGGGCGGACGTCTGAGGCCACCCTCTGCTGCCCCACAGCCTGCCTCCCGGCCCTGAGCACGCTGCAGATGGCGCACAACCACTTAGAGGCCGTGGAGGACATCCGGCACCTGCAGGAGTGTTCCAGGCTGTGTGTCCTCGACCTCTCTCACAACAAGCTGAGTGACCCCGAAATTCTGGGCGTGCTTGAGCACATGCCTCATTTGGTAAAGCAAACAACAACAACAACAAAACAAACAGACGAATCTTGCTCTCCCTCTTTCTTTCACATGCTGTCTTTACCTCTCTGCTTTTCAACTGGAATATCCCCAAGAAAGGCACCCTGGTAGCACACTGGATTAGGTGTCGTAATGCTAACTGAAAGGTTAGCAGTTCAAAACCACCACCCACTCCACAGGAGAAAGAGGCAGCAATCTTCTTCCCTGAGGGTTTACAGCTCAGGAGACCTCTGTCCTGGGGGGGTCACTTTGGAATAGATGACAGCGGGGTTGGAACTCTACCCACAGTGCCAGAAGTCATGTTATGTCCCCCATGAAGAGCCGAGCATGTGCCTGGAACAGATGCCGGTCAGTGCTGCCCGCATCCAGCTGTGCTCCAGGGGTTTTCAATGGCTGGAGGCTTTTATGGGTTTGGATAATTTTTTTTCTTCCTGAAATAGATGTCCAGGCCTTTCTTCTGAGGCGCCCACAGGTGGACTTGAACCTTCAACCTTTTGGCTTAGCAGCCAAGTGTGTAACTGTTGATAGCACCTTGGGACTTCTATGAAGACCCCTTACTCCCAGGAGGGCGCAGGGTTACCAGAATGCATGACCCAGTGAGAAGGTACCACCCAGAACAGCAGCACAGGCGAAGCAGGCCCCACAGCAGGGTTAGGACTGATTGTAACGCCCCTGGATTCCGGCCACTGAGGCAGACTGTCCCCCCATCGCCCTCAGCAAAATGGGGAAGGTCGTGTGTGGAGGGAGGTTGGAAAATGCATGGTCAACTCGCTTACGATGTATCTGTGCTCACCAATGACAAAACGCACTTCAAACGTGAAAAATAGGAAGTTTAGGGAAGCCAGTTTTAAAACTGTTGGCCGGCATGTTGCCATGCCGTAACACACTGTCTGGGTTTCTAGGAGCAGAATGGCAGACGGGCAAAGTCTGACGAAGGGTGGCCGGAGAAGCAGCAGTGCTTTGAAGTGTGGTGTCCCTGCAGCATGTTAAGCATGAGGGGACTGCCCAGAGGACAGGCACATCCTGGAAGCGGTGCAGCCACTGCTCAGAGGCGAGGGTGGCGCGGCTCATGCGCTGTGGACATGCCGTCAGGAGGGGCCGGGCCCCAGAGAAGGACAGCAGAGGGACAGCGGGACAGGAGGAAAGCCCCTCACCACGATGGATGGACACGGGCTGCAGCACTGGGGTCCGGCAGGGTGACGGTTGAGGAGAGCCAGGCCCGCTCCCTTCTCTGTACACACAGCGGTGCTGTGAGTCAGAAGTGCTTGAAGGACCTACAACACCCCAGAGGCGGCCAGAGGGCAGTGGGGGCCCAGAGTGGGACCCCTGAGGCTGTTGAAAGGCATGCTGGCGCCTTCCGCCTCTCCCCCTGAGCCACTGCCCTGTGTGTGTCCTTGAAACGGGCCCTGGCTGCAGAGGAAGAAAACAATCGGAGATTCATCTCAGTAAAGAGAACGGGCGAGCAGGGCTCATGAAGTGACTGGAGTAGAAGAGGCTGACGAAAGTGACTTCCGGTGTCCTTCTGGGAGGAGGAGGAGGAGGGAGGGCTGCTGGACATAAGGGCAGCCCCGTCTGTACAAAAAGGATGCAGACCTTCACCATACGCGGGGGCTGTGGCTGTAACGCCTCCTTTCTGCTCTGTGGTCAGAAGCAGCTCCTAACTGACCCTCCAGGGGGGTTTCTGAGGCTGTAAATCACACCGGAGAAGGTTGCCTCTCTTTCACCTTCAGAGCAGCTGGTGGACTTGAACTGTGTGCCTTTGGGTTGGCTTTGTTAAACTTCCTCTTAGAGCAGCGCCCCACGCCCACCCGTGGTGACCCTGTAGTGCAGAGGAGAAGTGCAAAAGGCTATAAATACAGCAGACTCTTCCCGTGTCTCCTTCTGGGCGGCTGGAGTGTTCAACCTCTGACCTGGTGGTTAACAGACCAACACTAACCCACTGTGTCTGCCAGAGAGTTGGACCTGACCTGGAGGCTACAGCCTGGGCTCGCCCCTGTCCAGGTGGAGGTGTTGTGGGGGGAAGGAGCCAGTGCCCGCTCACAGTGACCCCGAAGGACAGGCCAGAGTTGCCCACGGGGCCTGCAAGGCCGTCAGTCTTCATGGGAGCTGACGGCTCCTCTTTGTGCTGCCCGGTGGCCTGGCCGCTGCTGCCGTTGTTGTAGTACCATCGAGTCAGCACCTTCTCGTAGCTGGCTCTAGCAGGTTTGCAGAGGCTGGCGATCATGCAGAAGGTTGTCCATCTTTCGCCATTGGACCAACCTGTGGGTTCAAACTGCCCGTCTTTGGGTTGGGAGCGTGACCCCTTACCACTGTCTCAGCAGAACTCCCTTCCAAGTGGCTGGTGGGGTACTTCAGCCTCTGAGCCACCAGGGTTCCTTTCTTAGAGCGGGGGCCCCGAAGTGCATAGGTTACTTCAGTAACTGAGTGGGCTCTGCCCATTTGTTTCCAGCGTGTATTGAATCTGATGGGGAACCCCGTCGTGAAGCGCATCCCCAGTTATCGGAAGACTGTCACCGTCCGCCTCAGACACTTAACGTACCTGGATGACAGGCCCGTGTTCCCAAAAGACAGGTAGGCTGTGGAGACGCTCTAACTCCTAGAACTTGTGCTCCTCTGATAGGAAACCTTTATCTCTCGTGGAATGCTATGTTTCACGATTGAAGAGGCTGTGGAAGTGGTGTCTAATGGTTGTGTTATTGTCCATGATCGTAAATCCCCTACTTCTTGAACAATTCCTTCATATTGGATTTTTCCTAATTCTTCTAAAGACCTTTCCAGAAGCCTCTGATCTCGTTGCCAAGACAGTCATAAGGATTGAATTCCAAAAGTGCCATTTTACTGGGTTAAAGAATGTGGGTTGATGCAACAATGAATGAGTGGAAGCCCAAAATCTCTGTAAATGTTTATGAAAATTAATAAAATATAATTATAGAAAAAAAAA